ACGCGATCGAAATTATTGTGAACAAAATTTACGGACTACTCAAGTTCCTTTTTAATATTGTTTATATTCCAATAATTCATTGTAACTATACTGGTACGATTTTAAGTAGAAAAAAAGGCAAGAGGGTGTGTAAATATCGCAGTTATTTTTTTGTTAGCGGTTCGAAGAAATTTATGTATATTTTTTTAAATGTTTAAATATGCGACGGCCGTCGCCCGTCAATTTTCTCTCTAATATAATAAATACATATTATTATATTTATAATTACATATTATAATATATATATTATATATTATAAATATTTATAATTATATTATATATATTATTATATTTATTATATATTATATAATATAATAATAATATAATATAATATAATTTTCTCTCTAATATAATAAATATATATATTATTATATTTATTATATATTATATATATAATATAATAATAATATAATATAATATTTATTATATATTATATAATAATATGTAATAAATATAATAACTAGAAAAATCTAGAAAAATCTAGAAAAAATGTCGTATCTGCTCTTGCTAAATCATCTATTGTTTCGCGCACTCTGGGCGCGAATTACGGCGAAATTACTATGCTTCTATTCGATTCGATTTACCGAGAAGAACCGTCGAGGAGCAAACATAATCGTCAAAGACAAACGTTACCGTCACATCTTAATAGACTCATCCTGCCGCGCGGCAAACAAACGGCTCGTTCCCTCCGATCCAGGTCACCCTTTATACGATTATTATCACCGGGAGCGGTGACTTTTATCCGCAATTGGTCGAATAAATCTCGGACGGCGGTGTTTGTACCGCCGCATATCTTTGCCTATGGTTAAGTTATACGTCCACCCACAGCTTACAACGAGCAGCGCGATAATAAAGCTTCCGGTCTGGTCGCGGCAGCAACAGCAGCAGCAGCCGCGGGGACACAAAACAAAACGCATCGGGCAGGGAAGAGAAGAAAATTATTATTCCTTTACCGCCGCGGCGCGTGTACATAGCAACGTACACGGACCGGATGCGGTGCGCTTGATTTACCTCTTGTACACCTGGCCACCATCCCCTAACTGCACCCTTAAGATAAGATACCTCCTGCGAGGCAACGGGGCTTTCATCGATGGTGCGTTGACCCCTCCGAGGTATCCACGGATTTTTTCTTTTTTTTTCTTGGCGGAATATATCTACATAGAAATGGAACTTCAGAACTTGTAAACAAACGCGCTTAGCAGAGATAAAGCGGAATTTATAGTCTTTCTTGTGGTCGAAACTTTAATGGTCGCGTTCGCAGAAACTGAAATTTCAGAATTATTTGCTTCTGGAACTTCTCTCTGCAAGATGATATTGTTGTAACAGAAGTTTTAGTGACTCTAATCTCGTCGTTGCTATGAAACAGTGACAATAGTAAATATTTATATATAAATGTTATGTAAATATTTACTATTATATTAATTTACTGTTATATAAATGTTATAACATTAGAAAATATTTTGATATTTTGTTTGAGTTAAAAACTGAAATTTCAGAATTATTTGGTTCTGGAACTTCTCTCTGCTCGATGATATTGTTGTAACAGAAGTTTTAGTGACTCTAATCTCGTCGTTGCTATGAAACAGTGACAATAGTAAATATTTATATATAAATGTTATGCAAATATTTACTATTATATTAATTTACTGTTATATAAATATCTACTATGTTATATAAATGTTATAACATTAGAAAATATTTTGATATTATGTTTAAGTTCTTTTTAATCTATTAGATACATATATATAGCAAATACTTTCATCGGAAATAGACTGCGAATTTTATGCAATATATTATTTTCAATCTATTAAAATCGTTAAAGAAACATCGTATGAACATCAGAATATTTTGTTTACAATATTCGCTTGAATATAATATAAATAATAGTAACATTAAAATCTCTTTCGATGAAAACAGTCGCGGTAATTCGATCAGATATTAACATTGCTAAATCCGTTCTGTATAGAAAATTGTTCTCACGCCGGGACACAAAGCATGAAATGTTGCATGGACTACGAGGAGCTAATTTTACGGTTTCTGATCTGTTGTTCCATTTCACTGTCGGGGAACGCGAGGAGCTCGTTAACGAGACGCGCTGTTAAGTGTTCACTGTTTATAGGTTTCACTTTTGCTGCTGCGTTGTCTTGCCGTGACACTGAAACTTACTGTACATATACATACATACATATATACGTATATAAAAATACTTAGATATAATCTAAGCCCACGGACGGTATATTTTCCATTGGCACGATGGAAGCGTTGCGTTTGTATCGCGTGAACTATGTATGATTAAGTGTAATCGATAGATTAAGTCGTACCGTAGTTCAAGAGGAGAAGATATTAGCGCGAACGAGATTTATAAATCTAATGCGATCGATCAACTTCATTCAATGAAAATATGAAGTACCCTGCGAAACCAATTAACGTCAAGAATTTAGTATTTATCTCCGGTGAAACCAAAACGCCTCATCAAATTGACACTTCGAGGATATATTACAGACATTTTCTTTTTTATAATTTAATTTAATTAATGTAGAGTTACATATCACAGATGCCGGATATTATCAGAGTTAACGTTTATTTTTTAAGTTTTATTTTCGTTTCATTTTATTTTATTTTTTCGTCAATATTAATCACGCGCAAATTTAACGTTTCTTAGCAAGATCTCTTTTAATAAGTAATTAATATAATGTTTTTATATGTATAATATTCTCCTTATTCTATTCTCTTATATTATACATATAAATATTATATTAATTACATATTTAAAGAGATCTTGCTAAGGAATATTATCTTGAATAAAAGGATCTTGAATAAGGAATATTACAAAGAAATATTACTACATAATATTTATATATATAATATGTAGTAATATTTCTTTGTAATATTCCTTATTCTATTCTCTTATATTATACATATAAATATTATATTAATTACTTATTAAAAGAGATCTTGCTAAGGAATATTATCTTGAATAAGGATCTTGAATAAGGAATATTACAAAGAAATATTCCTTATTTTTTCCCATTCCTTATCTTTAGCAATACATACATATTTCTTTTAATATTTCTTTCCTCTTTAATAATTCAATTCAATATTGCTTAGCCGACGAAATAAACGATGACACTATCACTCCCCCCCGCCCCCCACGATTCACTATCCCGTACACGGAAGAGAGCGAATGAAAACGTGAAATTGCTTTTTCCACTCACCTTGTCATTCTCAACGAAATTCGCAGGTTTGATGTCGGCATCCACGTAGAATATAGCACTCGTTTCCCGGTGAAACCACATGTCTCACTATAAACTCACAACGTCTCCAAGAGAGAATGGAATTCCGGTTGTCGCGCGTAGCTTCGCCACTATCGTACTGCAAGTATTATCATATCGAGATGAAAAAACGTCGCGGTATCCTTATCGGAGATTCCTTCGATTCGAATGTCTCCAACTTGCGCGTCACCTTGTACATAATCAGCTTTAATTCGTTACGATTAATAAATATTAATTTTCGTCGATTACACATTATATAAATATGTATTAATTATATATCATATATATATATATATATTAATTACATATTATATAAATATATGGATATATATATTAATTATATATCATATAAATATATGAATATATATATATATATTAATTACATATTATATAAATATATGAATATATATTAATTATATATCATATAAATATATGAATATATAATAATTACACATTATATAAATATACAAATATATATTAATGCTATATTACATAAATATCAATCACGTCAACTAACAAATGTAAGAAATATCACGTTAACAAACTTGTTCGCGGATAAAAGAAGACACACGAAGCGGCACGTTATTATCTCTTCCTTTTTCTCTCGGCTAATTGCCCGTTGTTCTTTCTCGCGGAGATCCCCGGACAGTTGACATTCGTTAAGTTCTTTTCGCGTCGGTAGTCCCGTGAAAACTGGAAAGCGAAACGTTGATCGGACACCTCTCTCATTTGTATACGCAACGTGCTCTCCCTCTCCACAACGGCAACATCAATTCATTCCTCGCCTCTCGAGCACGATGGCCCTTCCGGCGGTCAATTAACAGCTCCCTTAATTCGTTATCCGTTGAAAGTCACGGTGAAATAAAGCCGCATCGGGCCCGTCCGCAATTAATCCTGCCTGCAAGTGCAACCGCAATTAAAAGTAAAAGTACCGGGATTCTTAGTCACCGCGGAACCCCCCCCCCCCCCCCCCCCCCCCCCCCCCCCCCCCCCCCCCC